CATGACAAGGAGAAAAGAAAAAAACCCACTACCAGACACACAAAACTAAAAACGTGACAACACGAGAATCGTGACATTAAACTTGAATACATTTACATTATTTATTTATTTGTTTGTTCTAAATACATGTAATCAATGTATGAATGTACGCCTATTTAGTTTTTTAAAGGCAATGTTTTGTGATTTATGTTTTTCCTTTGGTGAAAACATCTCATTTATATTTTCTTTTATGGTTAAAAAGGTCCTTTCGGCTTTTTAGCACCGGAAAAATATCACCGAATGTCAGAGAACAGGGTTACGTTGATCATACTCCGCATATTTGTCCGGGTGTTTTGATTTCAAGTGGTGGAGTAATCCCGAAGTGGTGAAAGTCTTTGCAGTTACACCCTCTCGAGAAATGTCAGCTGAACACATTTTACAAATCGCAATCCGCGCCTCTTTCTCTGATATTTTGAAATATCTCCAAGCGGCAGCGACATGTTGGCTGTGAGCCAGCCGCGAGCATGGTCGCGCGCCGTGCTTGTCGCCGCGTTTTGATTACGTCATCACAACAACACGTTAGGTTACCAAACTTATAGGTGCATTTGTTGTTGTTGAAGGCCTGGCTGTTACAGTCTTTATTTACACTATTTTGTTGTAGGCCTACTGGCCTAGATGTTTATGCAGGTTTAAAGCACCTTGGCTTTGTTCTGAATGCACTTTGTTGTAGTTATCCTACAGAGAAAAGAAAATGCACTTGACTTGGAATTAATGTACTGTATGCATTCAAAAGTGCTGAATAAATGTTTTATGGACCCATAATAGTGATTATTTATTTAAGTTTTGCCATAATCATGTCTTTTTACATAATCAGGTAGCTGAACGACATTAGTAAAAAACGTAGACATTATTTATATATATCTATAAATATGTATATTTCTATTAATCATTTTCGGCATTCGGTTTTCGGCCAACTGTTTCCTATTTTCGGTATCGGTTTCGGCCAAGAATTTCCCATTCGGTGCACCCCTAATCTTTTTTCTAACACAGTTCTGTACTGTTATGGTGTTATGTTCAGTCATTGCTCATTGTTCTTATGTTGTAAGTAATTATGGGACGTATTTCTTCTTTCATAGCAATTTTCCTTCATACTTTCTTGCCGTGAAATAGGTCTTCTATTCAAAGTGGTCTTAAAAAGTCTTAAATTTGAGTTGGCAAAACCTGCAGGAACCCTGTGTGAGATTCCATGTTTCTTTCTTCATCAGACTCCATGAACATCCTGGAACCAGAGGATGAGGAGCACACCCAGGAGGAAGATTCTAGTGGCAGCAATGATGATGAAGACAGCCAGGATGAAGAGGAGGAGGAGGAAGAGGAAGAGGAGGAAGATCAGGTATGGATTCATGCAATGAGGTTCAGTTGACAAATATCGATTACTGCTTTTTTCTTTACCACTCATGGCTGCTGCTTTTTCTCTAGGATGATGAAGAGGGAGATGAGGATGATGATGATGAAGGTTCAGAGATGGAGTTGGATGAGGACTTCCCAGACATCAATGCCGCACCTCACATCCGCTTCGAAAGGTTTGACAGGGATGATGACCTCATCATAGAGTTTGACAACATGTTCTCCAACAACGGTAAGCAGGAGGATTTATTACCCATATCTGTACATTTGATTGTTTGGTAGAATTAGTTTTGATTAAGATCCACTGTGGTTTGTTACAAATGCACTTCCTATTCAGATAAAGTGCTCCCCCTTCTTGATAATGAAGCCCACTGTTTAAAAATAAGGAATAAGTCTTAATCCCTGTATCACATTTTGAGGTATACATGATTAACAATGGTCAGCCCTCTTATCCTAAGTAGTTATTCTCATATTCCTCACCAAAGTTTAGGACATCCCAAAAAAAAAAAACTCGGGGTTCGTCCAGAGCTGTCCCCCTAATGTCTGCCTACTGTTTTCTGTTATTTTTCCATCAGCTGACATCCCTCCCTCCCCAGGCAACATCCCCAGCTCCCACCCGCTGATGGTGCGTCATGCGGACCACGGCTCCCTCACCCTGGGCGTGGCAGGCACCAGCAGCCGCCTGGCACAGGGCATGGGTCGCAGCCAGCGGACACTGCGACAGCTCACTGCCAACAGTGGACACACCATCCATGTCCATTACCCTGGCAACCGCCAGCCCAACCCTCCTTTAATCCTGCAAAGGTAAAAGCATGTTTTTTGGTTTCTTCGTTCAACAACACATCTATTTTTTCATTATTCTTTGTGGGTTTTTTTGACACCGCCATTCTTTATTTGAGTGATAACACTCATTAAAATGTCTGTTCCTCCTCTTCTACATTCTTCAGATTGCTGGGCCCTAGTGCTGCTGCAGACATCTTGCAGCTGTCCAGCTCACTGCCTCTGCAATCTCGTGGACGAGCCCGCCTTTTGGTGGGAAATGAGGATGTGCACATCATTGCACGCTCTGATGACGAGTTGTTGGATGACTTTTTCCATGAGCAGAGCAGTACCGGGGGACAAGCAGGTGAGAATCACTCTGGGTTATCATTGATGTCATAGTTACTGAATGACTATAAGCCTTCATTCCTAACATGAGTGTTCTCTCTGTCCCTCCAGGCACCCTCTCTAGTATTCCCACTGCCTTAACAAGATGGACAGATGAGTGTAAAGTGCTCGATGCTGAGAGTATGCACGACTGTGTAGCAGGTAGGTCCATTGTATTATGCAGATATCAATGCACAAGGCTTAATGACTTCTGTTCACACACACATCCAAGTGTACAGCTGTGTCTTTATTATGGTCAAAAGCATGTCAACAGGTGAACATAAGTGTCATTGTTTGGACGTGGAAGGACCAGGGATGAACTCTAACATCTGTGTCTGCTTTCAGTGGTGAAGGTGCCTATCCTGCAGCATCTGGAGAGTCTGCGAGATGAGGAACTGGAAGAGCGTCGGGAGAAAAGGAGGCGGCAGCTGGCTGAAGAGGAAGAGTCTAAGCAGAATGAGAGGAGGGCCTCTGGAGCAGAGCAGGCCAGGGAACAGAGCCTGCAGGTAAACAAAACCCCTTAGGGCATTATGTTTATCACACAAGTTGACATTGCGTTGCCGATACAAATAATGTATATTGTGCATTACTACCTTGAGGTGCATGCGTCTTTTGGCGTTTTTATTCACTTTGTTGCTAATACGAACTGCTTTTGGTTCATAGGGTTCTGGATTGGGGACAGTTAATGGTGCTGAGAACACTGCAGGTACTGACACATGAATACATTTTGTTTCTGTATGTCGTAATGTTTACAATTTCTGTCTGGAATGGAACATCTGTGACGGCCTCGAGAGAGAGAAGCAGCCAGCAGAGCGTGCTGTGGGATGAGGTAGTAGTTTGTATAGTTTTAGGATCACACCAGATCTGGGAGATAACTATACAGTCTACTGTCTTTCTTATGGCTACGCTATACCAGCTGGACATCTCCATCTGATTTCTCTGAACTACAATGTTTTCTCATGTGTATATTTTATCCATTGCACTGCACTGGCTGTGCTGTGGTGAGGTAGTAAGTTGTGTTGTTGTTGGGGATAAGGATTGTTCACCCCGTTCAGGAGATAACTATACAACTTACTGCCTTCCTCAGTGCAGGCCCTTACCATATATGTCAATCAGGATCAATAACAAATGTAAATACTGCTATTTCTGTTTGTGCAGTTTTGCATGTGTGCCTAGTCATTCCTAACAATTAGTTATTACTGCTTTGAAAAGGTTTGGAGCTGTTTTGGCTGAGATGTTGTATAGGCGTAAGCATTGGTAGCTGTGAGTAATTATAAGGTACAAAGAGCTAGTCCCCTGCCAAAAATATTCAGTTGTATTTTTTAAATGCTTATTTTTACTGTTTATATATGTAATCTGTTTTTCACTCAACAAATTATGGTCATTTTTTCCATATATATATATTTCTTAAAGAGCTAAGCTTGTCCTCACACTATTGTTCTCTCTGGATGTTGCAGAGGGTGAGCAGGCTCAGGGTGGCACAGTGTCATGTCTGGACCCACCCAGGGTCTCAGAGGGCTTCCTCACTGCTCCCCCATCTGGAGAGGTCACTCCCACCACACCTGCTCCTCATGAACAGGCGCTGGTCTCCCTGGAGACTGCCATCAGTCAGCAGGTCCACCAGCCAATCGCTGACCTCCTACTGGCTGAGTCGCATGCCAGCTCACTGGCTGCTCTAGCAGGGGCGGGTCTTCCTGCCTTGTCATCAGCTGACCGGCCAAACAGTGAAGCGGAGGCATCTCAGATGGAAATGTCCCCGGCAGCCACAATCGGTGAGAGAGTCAGTGGGGGAGGAGGAGCGTTGGATGAAGGCAGGGAAGGTAGACTAACTTTGAAAGCTCTCTATTTACAGACAGGTCAACAGTTAGGTTACACATTTGTTATGTACATAATGTTGAAGCTGGTAACATCTTTTGAACACTGAAATATGAACCAATTGGTCATGGAATTTTACAACAGAACATTGATTCACGCCATTCTAACCTAAACGTCACTTTTTCTCTCTTTAGCCTCCCTAAGTCCAGACATCGTGGAGACCTCAGAGCCTGCAGTGGTGGGTGTTTCACAACTGGAAGGGTCCCCCATGGATACCAGCAGCCCTGCCTCTACCACTCAGGAAGAAGTGGCTCCCAACCCTGCCCAGACCGCCCAGCTGTCTCAGGAGCTGTCCGGCAGTAGGGAGAGTGGGCTGACTGACCGGCACACAGACGCAGACACTGGGTCAGTGTCATCCGTGACCAAATGAATGTTCAACTGCATCTATTGCCTAGATAACCATACAGTGGGACAAAAAAGTATTTAGTCAGCCACCAATTGTGCAAGTTCTCCCGCTTAAAAAGATGAGAAAGGCCTGTAATTTTCATCCGAGGTATACCTCAACTATGAGAGACAAAATGAGAAGAAAAAAAAATCCAGAAAATCACCCGTCCACAACCTCAAACAGTCACACTCCAAACTCCACTATGGCCAAGACGAAAGAGCTGTCAAAGGACACCAGAAACAAAATTGTAGACCTGCACCAGGCTGGGAAGACTGAATCTGCTGAGACTGCCAAGGCACACNTGAGGAAGAAAAGGGCTTTGAGGGAAAAAGTTAGCAGAGCAAGAACACAAAGTTGGTCGGATTGGTCGAGTGGAGCAGGCTTAAACAAAAAACCAAAAATTTTTTGGTTTTTTGTTTAAGCCTGCTCCACTCGACCAATCCGACCAACTTTGTGTTCTTGCTCTGCTAACTTTTTCCCTCAAAGCCCTTTTCTTCCTCACAGCTTTGGTTTCCTCCCATTCCATATCAGCTCTTTGGGTCCCATCTGAGCTGGTTGACATGATGATACAGTCAATGTACAGTTTATGCTAACCAGTCCAATGCTACCGTTTCTGTATGTTTCGATGATTTCCGACTCTCTCTGAACTTTCTGCAGCGTGTCTCCGACTTCACTTTCTTCTTCCGGCCTCTCGTGACAGCAGACTGACGCCTCCCGAGCGCCGATCTTCAAAATGATCACAACATTTATACACAGAGTTCACTTCTGAGCGAGCTAGACAGTGAGTTGGCAGTGTTCCATTGGTCGGTTTCCCTTCTGGGCGGGATCCCAGGTAGTAAATCAGTTTGTTGATTCCATCTGTTGGTAATCTGATTCTGATCGCAAAAACCAAGCCAATGCTGCGTTCATGGAGCTACGTGGAAGTGGGGAAGGACAATGCTTGATTGCGGATACGTAATTTCACATTCTAGCACAGTTTATTGCTCTTATACCTTGATTGTTGCCAATTACGATGCTCAACAGCTTGCTTAAAGGAACTTTGACGCTGGTATCAGTTTACCACCAATCACGGGAGTATTGTGTATAGAAAGTATTGAGTTATATTTCTCGCGCTACCTAATATCCATGAAGGCAACATGACAGAGGGAGGCCTGCCACTCAGGATGCCAAACTACTCTTTGCTAAGCCCCGCCCCCCACGCAACATCAGGGCCAAAAGTCTGAAAGCGAAAAAAAAAGATCTGAAAGCGAAAAAAAAAGATCTGAAAGTGAAAAACGATCTGAAGGTGAAAAGCAATGTGAAACCTGAAAAAACAAGATTTGAAACTGAAAAAATAATTGTTTTGAATCTGAAAACGAAAAATCTGTAACTGAAAAAAATAAGGATTCAAATATCAAAATATAAAAGTGAAATCTGAAAATAAATATTTTATTCAAAAAAAATTGCTGAACTGAATCAAAATAATATTCCACCTGAAAAATGATTTCAAATTCTTATTTTTATTTTTGAATACATCATAGTATTTTTCAAAGTTCAGGATAAAAACTTGAACTTTCAAATAAATTGCATTTTTTTTTAATGATCAAAACTTATGACTTTGAAATAGCTCCATACAAAACAACTCTCAATCGACAAATCTCAATCGCACACATAAACAAACAAAAACATTATAGGCTACCTCATGCTGTCTTGCGGTCGTCCTACATGAAGAATATACCAAACAAACACATCTGAAAAGTGAAGAACGACTAACTGAATAATGATAAAGAGCAAAGCAACATTTTAAAAATCTATAATTGTGTAGGGGCTCGACCCTCCTACCTATTGCTAGTTCCTGTAGCCTACCTGATATGACCTCGTGTGGGTGGAGTGACGTCCCGTGACCCCAGCCAGAACAACCCCGCCCCCCCTGAACACGAGTTGAATCAGGCCAAATTGGAAACACCTGAGCCGCGTCAGAGCAGCGTCAGCATGTGTGCACATTAGGATACCGTCCACAATTACACCGTGAAATAACTCGAGTTGAGGCCGTTTTTCTGCTGGAGTTATGACAAGCATAGATGTATTGTCCACCAGGTTTGCCGCCTTTGACAAAATGCATTCCTATGAATCACGCGAACAAAGCTATGTAGACTGGCCATTTAGAGAGGATTGTTACTGCACTCCTGAAAAGGTAAGGACTGGAGGCCGCTGTGTCTCGAGGAATCGCAGCAGTTAATTATAGCATACATTCAGAAACAATTGATTCATAGTTAATTACTTTTTCTTAATTTTGTTTTAATAATGTGGATCTGTAAAGTTACTGTACCTGACGCTTTCAATGTAGTGGAGTAAATGACACAGTCATGACTTCCAAAATGTACCTTGTGGAGAAATGTATAAAAAGGTGGAAATTACAAATAAAGTACCATAATATTGTACTGTAGGTACAGTGCTTACTTGCAATGCTTAAGTTAATGTACATAGTTTATTTCTGCTACTGGAGTGCACTTAGGTCAGACAGGGCCAACACAAGGTCAGACTAAGTTCATGTGGAATTTTCTTCTATTTCTACTCTGGATGTGTCAGATGGCTCTTAAGATCTTTGGAAACCTTGATGTTCATTAACCTACACATGGCCTCGACTAATCAATTATTTTTGAAACACCCAAACCTTGTTTACATTCTCAACAGCTTTCATCTAAGGTTGTGACAACTTGTGATTTACAGTTAAGCAGGTGTCAGCTTCAGTTTCATTGCATCAGGTGTCAGGTGCACATAGCCCCTTCCTTTTGCCCACCCTAGTCTTTTCATGATGGATGGGCTGCTGGCACCTCCCTTAAGGAGCAACACTCATGCTACCCGCTCTTAACCCCGCAAGAGCCAAATCATCCGAACGTTTACTTCACACTGACACTAATTCCCCTGCAGCTATGTAGTTCTTTTGTTCTTGCACATATCAACTTATATTTGTCATTGAGTTACTAGCTCATAAAACTCTTTATGTTACAGGGTACACATTATGACATCTGTGACTGATTTGTTTGTCTTTGCAGATGGCCAAGGCTGGGTTTGTCCACTGCCCCAGTGAGAATGAGCCTGATGTGGCGTGCTGTTTCTTCTGTCTGATCGAACTTGAGGGCTGGGAGCCAGATGATGATCCCATGTAAGGAAAGCATTCCTATAAGATAACCCTTTATCTTATATATATCCTGGTGCTTTGAGTCACTGAAGATTATATTTTCTCCTCGGAATCACTGTGTTGCCGTCACAAGACACATTTTTATATAAAGAACATGACCGTAGGTGAATGACAAGAAAAGAGGCTGCCCAAAAACTTTTTAGCTGTCCTTCCCCAGGCAATTTGGATATTCAAACACCTAATTTCCTGCATTCTGGTTCATTGAAATGCACCACATTATCATTGAATTGTCTTTATTTAAGGGGGAAAAAAAAAACTTCAAGTTGCAGATGACAATTACAAATATAATTAGGGTAGGCCATTCTCTATTTCTTTCAAACATGTATTCTCCTGTAGATAATCTTAATGTTATCCCACATGGGCAAACGTTTCTGCACAATGAAACATATTCCAAATGTTTGTTATCTAAGATTACATTATATTATGATACATTTACTAGACGTTGTTGCTCAGTAGTGGCTGGTTATTGTTAGTGACCATAGATGGTAGGAACGTGTTGAAGCAAATACCCCTGTGACCCTTCAACTAACTTCTTCCGTAACATTTTCTCTGCCCAGGTCTGAACACTTGAAACGCTCTCCGAACTGTGGATTCTTAACCTCGAAAAAAGATTTCACTGAAATGACCGCGGCTGATTTCTGTCATATGGAAAGAGAGAGGCTTAAGGTCTACCTTGTGAGTGTTCCTAAAATCTGTGTAGATTGTGTGCAGTGAAGTTTTGTTTGAATATTCACACAGTGGTGGTTTGACACTGCTTTTTTTTCCCCTAGAAAAAAATTTGTCACAAGAAGATGGCATATTTGCGGGAGGACATAGACCGTACCCTTGGGAGACTTATATCTCAGTTTGACATTTAACTGATTGAAATCAAACTTCCTGTCTTTGTTGTGTCATTTTATAGCAACACTAATCTTAAGGGTGTAGCGTAAGCTTTTAGTCTTGACTAAATATTTGTATTTAATGGTAGTATGACATATCAATAAAGTTGTTCCAAATATTACTCTTCAATTGTAGTACTGTATTCTACCACAAGATGGTGCTTTAGCTCTAAACCTGCCGTTTTTTTTAAGTCACAGACACACTTTCTGGAGTTCCCAATCTCAAAACCTTCACAAAGGAAATCTGAAATGAAAGCGCACATTGACCAGGATTACAATGTGGGCTATATTCCCTCTTTTCAACAAAATACTTACCATTTTCCTGAACGTGCCACCATCTCTACCACCCCTTTTCAAACCTTGACCCTGGACAGATGGCCTGAAGCCCCTCCCTTTCAATACCAACTGTTGCCCCACTAACATCTGTTACATATAGGGGACAGTGTGCTCTGAGCGGGCTCGCCAGGACACTTGCCTAACCCTGTGAGAAGAACTGAGATTTTAAAAAACCCTTAAGGGTACTGCTGCTGACAATGGAAATTGTGAAAAAGGTGCTCATGCCCTAAACACTTGAAGAAAGCTCCATGCACTGTATTGCTTCAGTGCTCTTATTTTGCTTTTCAAGAACAAAAGTCTAACATGAATATTATTTGCCAAAGTTGGTGAAAATTCTTGATTTTTTTTATGCAGACATGGAAGGTGTTTGGCTCCATTTTGAGTCTCTCCCTGAGTGGTGGTATAGGCTTGGCTGGATGGAGTGCAGGATTAAAAGATGCTATCCCTCCTCCAACCTTCCACTGTTCTGGATTAATGTCTAATGTAACACTCTGGCTACTGAGCCCAGATCAGCTGCTTAATTCTCCTTTATCTGCGTGCTGCAGCACAAATTGAAGTGAGACTATTTTTAGCCAAATAAGTACCCTTAGGTGATGTAACATTTCTAATGAAACTTTTATTATTCAACTTTTCAGGGAGTGCGTTTTATATTCCCAAGTCTATGCTGTTGCGAGATATTTCCTCAGTCATTCACATGTTGCAGTCATTTCCAATATAATTGATTTAAAATGCATTTAGCTACCAGAATACAATTTCAAATGGTTAACTGATGAGATGTTGGTTTGACATTCAGTAAGGCAAGTGATGTGATGTTTGCATAAGTGTGAAGATTATAAGGAGTGTTTACAGTAATTGCTAATGTAACTCCAATCAGGGTTTATATACATCCATCCACTTGTTTATGTGCTCCAGAAAATGAACAAAGAGATCAGCATGACTTCTATCCCTCAGCGGAACAGATGTGATATGTTGGCTTATCTGTGGGAATGGTGCAACACTGTTGATTTGATTGGATCATAACTAAGGTGGGAGCTTGGCTTCATATGTTTTCCCTTACCCCAGTTTTATTTAAGCAGTTTTAAGTATAAACCAATCAAAATGTATTTAAAATTAGTCATTCACTTAATAGGAATCAGCATTGCATTACTGCACATGGATTTGGTTGTTTTCTGATTTAATTAATATACTGTGACCAAGGGTTCTGTTGTCTAATTAATGAGTTTCCGCTAAACAAACTGAACAGTGAATGTAGCAGATGGACAAACGGACAGATGTTACCAACAGAAAGTTTACAACCTGAGCTTTCCATCAGGCCCCATCTGTTGCTCCTGCGCCTGGTTCCTCCCACCACCCTCCTCCAATGCTTCCCCTCATCAGCATCTATCACCAAACCCTCTCCCCTGATGCCATATACACTGCACTGCCTTAATGAAGGACATCAGCATTTAGCCTCTCGCCTGACCTGCTTCACCCTTAATCAACAGTGCTTAACGGCAAATCACGTCTGAGTGCCAAGAAATTAAACATTTGTCTTGCTGTAAATGCGTTTATGTTTAGGTATAGCTTGTTGCACTTGAGAAAAAACAATGCAGGATAAAAGATTATATTGGCTGGCACGTAGCTTACAGAGAAGCCTAGACTTTACAGTAATCCTGAAACCCAAGCTTTGTGAAGGTTTCTAGATCTTTCTGAATTTACTGACAGATTATAGCAAAGCAAACGGACTTTCGAAGTTACTTGTCCCTGCATTATAATTAGGTGTCCCCTTTTCAGTGTTTCCTTTCCCTGTAANCAAAATAATTACATTTGACTCTATTGTACAGAAATTAAGATTAAGTTGCAAGCTAAAATAAAGGAGAACTTATTTCTAGTGTGTGCGTGTATGTGTGCGTGTGTGTGTGTGTGTGTGTGTGTGTGTGTGTGTGTGTGTGTGTGTGTGTGTGTGTGTGTGTGTGTGTGTGTCTGTGTTTCTATGTCATTCAGAGGCTTGCTCTGGGTTTCTATCAGGTCAGACGGGAGGCTGTTGTGGGCCATGGGAAAACAGCTCTGGGGAACAGGTGAATGTGTCAGAGGCTTTTCTAAACCTCTGCTGCTGTTCTCACCCACATGTCCCATTTTCACATCTAGCTCATGCCAAAACACTGTAGGGCACATTCTCCTTTTAAAATAATTCATCCACATTAACACAGAGAGAAAAGAACCAGATTTCTGTTAAGAGACAAGACGATAGATGTTGAAAATATTTAAATATTTTTGGGGAAATGATCTTACCTCTGTCCTCAGTACATTTAAAAAAATTTATTCTAAAGGTGAATGGCGAGAAAATAAACTTTAGTTTTATTATTTCCAGATCACGTTAAACTGGCAAGTTTCCTTCACACCTTTATATCACTCAACTAATGACAAAAGTCTCAATTTGACTTTAATGACTGCGTTGAGGGAAATTATTGCACTTGAAACAGACAAAGAGCGGGGAGGCTGAGTGTAAAGATGAAGAGGTGAGAGCAAGAGGTGTGTTCAAGTGTGTTTATCATTGTGGTCAGTGAGGCAATTGTAAGAAGGGGAAGGTGCCTCTAAAGCTGTTGTCCAAGAGGACTTCCCCCCTCTTCAGCTACCTCTCCAAAAGGTTTGTCTTTTCCAGTCCTGGCAACAGGGGAGAAAGGCTGGAGGAGAAAAAGGGAGCGATTGTTTTACTGGGCGCCACTGGTCCATTGTGAACGCAGCCTGTTCTTTCTCTTGACCTGTGACCCGTATTGTTGTGGGGCTTCTCGTTTGGGGAGGGCAGACAGCTGGGGGAACTGCGGGGGGGCTGATGGACAGCTGGGCCAATTTGGAAAGCAACAGAGATGAGAGTGAGAGCATGTAAGAGAGGGATGAGAGAGGGAAAGGGGAATTAGTGTGTTGGGAGGTTAAAGGAGAAGAGGAAAGAGAAGGAGAGGGCAGAAGAGGTGACCAAGGTCCTTGCTCCCCATTCACAAGTTAGTCCTCTCTGCTCCTGTGTGTCAGCCTTGGCATAGGAATGACACATAGCTTTACACACAGGCAGACATTTGGCCTGTGAGAAAGTACTGGCAGAGTTAGCTGGCGTACACCCTCTTTGTGTCTTTGCTGTTTTGTTTCCACAAACATGGTGGGGGCAGGGTATGTGGATTATCCTCCTGAGTCCAAATACATGAGTGGGTGGATATAGAAATAATCCACGTAAATTAATTTTGGATACAAGATTACAAAACCCAGAGATACAGGACAGTCTCTGGAGATTGGGGCATGCTGATGAAGAGGCAGTGTGGGACCATTTTGGAAGAAATATTAATAATCATATCGTAATTTGGAGGAAATATTTGCATTTTGTTAGCTTGAAATACTTTTTAGGTTTAATATTTGTTTTTTAATTTGTATTCTACTGTTGCACCAAACACAATGTATGTCGAAATGATTTTAAAAATGCTGTTTGCGTATCAAGTGGCTCTCATCTATGGTGAGGACATGGAGGTCTCTTAATGGGAAGGGAACACATGCTCTGTAATACCATCTTGACCGAGACCGCAGGCAGCACAGCACGACCTGTGGCTGGACCCCCGGGGGAGTGAGGTCATGTCAGACATCAGCCCAGAGAATTAGTGATGCAGCACTTCAACTCTTGATTTCCTAAACTTTTTTGGTAATGTTTTTTTATTAATCTTTATTTGCATTATTGTGAATAAGCTAAAAGCATGAACCCTTTTGGCATCATGAAATTATGTTTCACTGTTTTGGCAGAGGAAGTTTGGTTCACCAAGAAAAAAAGACAAAATAACAACAGATAACTTCTTGAAGTGAGGAGTGAAGCTTGCTCTTGTTTCCTCTCGTGCTCAAATTTTTGTTTCTGTGTGCAGCACACTTAATCCACTGGCCAAACAAGAGTGACTCCCACTAAAATGAAAAGGTCCTGATCCATAGGAGCTAGATGGAGGGATAAAGCATTGTGATTAAGATTGTATTAATGGGGCCATAGGAGGCTGGAAGGCTTTAATCAGTGTCTGTGTGCCGGTAATCCCACTGCCTTTAAGCTGGGGCAGACACAGTGATCCCCCCTCCCCTTGAGCCACGGTGCACATGCACACATAGAGACACACACGCCTCTGTGGGGAACATGGGGATATGAGTGCCCAGGTTGAGAGGTGGAGCAGCCCGAAACGGAGACGCCCTAGACTTAGAGGAGCAGCTGGTAGAAGAAAGACTGAGGAGATGGATGGAGAAAGAGATGTGGGAAACGACAGAAGTAAACAATGGAAGATGGCATGGGCTGGCGTTATGAGAAGATGGAGGGATGGTATTTGCCATGGTCAACATGGTGGAAGCAATTAAATATAAATGAATAAAATGTATACAGAATCTGGTTCCATCTATCAACCATCAGACTGTTTAGCTCAGTTTTAGATTATTCCAAAACAGTTAAACTAAAGTAAAATTTGAAGCTAAGAAAATTGTGTTAAGCCATCTAAAGCTTGCAAATATGGGCCCAGACTGATATTTAGATACGTTTCAGATATTTGTATTTATTTACATCCCTTTCTTAATTTGAATTTTCCAAGTACACCTTTCTCAGTCTTGTATTTAGACAGTGAAGTTTTTCTGTCATTCCATTGTAAAGACTGTTTTATTGTCAGAGTCCATTGAGTTTGTGTCATGCTCCAATCAGTAAAAGTATTGTATGTATATATGGTTTTTGTCCATCAATTTCAGGGAGGGGGGTCTTCAATTAAAAGTTATTTAGGATACATTTGAGTGGCAAGTAGCTGCAGTATGGGCAATACCAGAATATATGCAATTGATCTCCTAAATCCAACTTTAAGTAATACATGTCCAAAGATGGTTTGTACATCAACAGTTCTAGTTCAACAAAGCAAGGAAAGTACACCCAACTTTGTGTCTACTGAGAGCAATAATGCTTAAGACAATTT